GTGACTTTGTCTTGTTCATTTCTGTGTCCCATCATGCAGAACAATTCCTCACTCTCACGAGATGCCTGTGACAGGGACAACGCTGTTGTTCTCCACACGGCTCCCTCTTCCAGGGCTAAAACGTGGAAACATTTCCCAGCCCCTGTTGGAGCTAAATTGGAAGGATTGACTAGCTTTTGGCAAACAGCAACAGGAATAGAAGTGATGTGTCACTTCCGGTCTGAGGGATGGAAGAGACGGTGTGTCCCTCTCCCTTCTCTCTCTTCCCTTGTTAGGGCCACCCTTGTTATGGCAAGGATGTGATGAGAGGGGACCACCAGAAAATGGGGGGCACCTGGGTCCCTAAGTCACTGAAAGGAGAAGGACTCCAGTCAGACATCATCACAATTTTCAGACTTTTGTTATATTGTACCACAGAGATTTAGAGGTTTGCCTGTTGAGGCAGGAAGAGTTCTTTATCCTGGTTAATAAAAACAGTGCTTAAAAAATGTTTGTTGACATAATAAATGAATACTCTCCTTTAATCCTCACAATAACTTTAAGATAGATATTTCGATTTGACAGATAAGGAAAGAGAGTCAGAGTTAAGAAGTGATGTGACCAGGCGTGGTGGCTCGTATCTGTAATCCTAGCACTCTGGGAGGCTGAGGCAGGAGGATTGCTTGAGGTGAGGAGTTCGAGACCAGCCTGAGCAAAAATGAGACTCCGGCACTACTAAAAGTAGAAAAATTAGCCAGGCCTGGTGGCATGTGCCTGTGGTCCCAGCTACTTGGGGGGCTGAGGCAGAAGGATTGCTTGAGCCCAGGAGTTTGAGGTTGCTGTGAGCTAGGCTGACGCCACGGCACTCTAGCCAGAGTAGCAGAGTGAGATCCTGTCCCAAGGAAAAAAAAAAAGTGACAGAGCTGGCAGTTAAATTTATGTCTTTGAATTCCATGCTCCTTTTACTGTACCTGGCTGCCTTTCAGGAATATAGTCTGATGTATATTTTATATGAAATTTTACCAAAAAGCACTTCAGTGTAATAGAGGTTAGGGACTTTCCAAATGAGAGGGTCCCCTGGGCATCATCGCTGTGGGGACAGGGTTGTCATCTTGGATGCAGTTAAGGCTTTCTGAATTAAAGTACCCCAGTGAAGAGCTTTGGCCAATTGTTTTCTCTCCTTGGGGGGGGGATGGGGCATGGGGTGGGGAGAATTTTTACCTCTCCAGTTCCCAGCTCGGGAAAGAGGACCCTCCTTCCTGTAAGCAAATGGTCGAGATCGGGCTGCTCAAAGAGACTGACCTGTGCTGACTTTTGCATCTCACCTACTGAATAGATTTGTCAACCACCCAACAGCTTCCGCAGCTCTGGAGGCTGGCCTGCCTGAACTTAGGAAACGTGAAAATAGCTGAAGGTAAATTCTAACACGTTAACTCACACTGCGAACCCTCTCCTCCGCCCTGCCACTGCTGCAGAGAAGGCGGTGGGAGGAGGGAGAGTGATCTCCACTCCATGGCAGGGGGAAGCGTGGTCAGTATGCAGGGGGAAAGGGAGGTAACCACAGGGTTAGACATAAGTTTAACCTCTGAGATAAAAACTAATAAGAATCAGCTGTGATGGATGAGACTAGTTATTACAGAGCAATCGGGGAGGCAAGACTGGATGGTCCCCTGTCCCCATTCAGTGTCTCTCTCCCTGGCTCCCTGGGGGGTCTGGGTGCTCAGCTCAGCTCACAGAACAGACATTTGTGGAGGTAAGACTATTTGTCAAGCATGGTGCCAGGTGCTGGAGACACAGATATGAGCAACAAGGGTCAGGCCCAGACTGAGTGTCAGATGAAGCACCCTGTAAACCCGAGAAAATGCTACCACTGCCCAGGGTTGCTGCCAAAACACAGGGTGTCTTGGTGCAAAATAGCAAACAGGACTCTTGTTAATATAAGAGGATCCGGCTCAGTCTGCCAGTGATGTGATGTTGCTCAGTGGCGCCCCTGGTGGCCAAATTCCCCCTCAACTGTTCATCTTTTCTCCCTCTACTCTCCATCCTTCTTTTGTGGGACCTGCAGTTCTCTGAAACTCCAGTCCCTGCGTTCCAGTCCCTCTAGACATGAGACCTGGACAAATCCAGAGGGACTCTTGTCATCACCCAAAGTCCCAGTCTTAAAAATGGAGAAACGACCTAATCAGAGCCACACTTTGGGCTTTCCTGGAAGAACCAAGTGATGACTCATGTGTGCCCATAATCGTTTAAGCCAGGAAAGGTACTAAAGCTGTGGCATAAACTGGGCAACAGATGGATTGGTAGAGGTGAGAGTGGGGGGGGGACAATGTGACCATCGGCTCAGACTGGGCTGAGTTCAGTATCCGCCACTCCCATCCCCTCCCAGATCTGAGTCCATCTTCTGTTCCATTTCCTTCTCTTGATTCCAAGCAGCCCTCTAACCTTCATTTCTAAAGCAACTTGGATGCAAAAACTGTAGAGAAATTGAAGCCCAGGAGAGCTCCCTTGGCTGAGAAATCAGTCGATTGAATTACGCTCTCCTGCTATATTTATCTCAATGGAAGGGGCTGCCAATGGGCTGTCAATGACAGACTAGGTAAGTGCGAAATAGTTGCAAGTCAGGGTCTTAATTATGTGAGCTTGCCTGAAGAGAGATGATATTCTTTCCTGGATCAGTGGCACTGGGCAGTCCCCACCTGACACTGTTGGCCAGGTCCCCTTGCCGATCCATATTCACGTGTGTAGCACACTGCTGGGACTTCAGCCCAGCTCACTTGTTTCTTTCTCCACGAAGCCTTCCCTGACCCCCTCCCCAGGGCCCTCATTCCCAAATGTGTTTGTGCACCTGTCTTACTGTGCTCACCTTGCGGTATAGCCTGTGTCTTTTCCTCCCACCATCTCTGAGAGCTTCCTGAGAAAGAGCCTATGCCATACTGGTCTTGGTGTCCCTCAGTGCTAGCTCAGGCCAATGCACAGCAGTTACTTAGTCAGTGAATTGAAATCAAAGCAAAATTCAAATCAATTTCCAGTTTCTAGAGTCTTGGCCCTGATTGGTTCTGATGTCTCACCTGGCTCTCACCTGTACGGCTAGACTAAGTGCTACTGGACAGCCAGCTATGCCCAGGCATTGTGCCTGGGGCTTCACGTGCCACCCACTGCTCCGTGGGGTGGGCTGTATGATCTCCATTTGAAGAAACCGAGTGTTCAGAGGAGTTAAATAACCAGTCTGAGGTTTCACAGCTAGTATGTGCAGGACTGGATTGGAGCAGGGGTCTGTGTGACTCTGTAGCCCCTGCTCCTACAGACAGAACTCAAACGCTGCTACTCTTGTGTGTTCTATGTACAAGCACCCACAGATAAGATGTCAACACTATTTGTGGCCTCAGCAAAAGCACTCTCTAATTTTCTGGGATGCCCTAACATCGTTGAACTTAACAATGTCATTTCCCAGTGACATCTGCCTCTGCATGTGGTCCCTGCTCCGTCTTAAAAGCCCCACTTTCTCTCTGGTGAGCCACAGTGTTGCTGCCCAGGCTGCCCCCGGCCGCTCTGCAGGACCGTGCAAACGCCTTCTCTTGGGTTCTGGGCCTTACTTCTCCAGAATTCTAGTAGGTTCTACAGGGTAATGACAAAGATAACAGCTGCAGATAAACGCCTGGGGCAAAAATCCTGTGCCTTTATCCCCAGAGATCAAATAGAAGGCCTTACTTGTGTGGCTCCAAAATATCCCAGACTTGGGCCTGTTTTTCATATATTCCCATAAAATCTGCTGGTGCCTTGATTTACTTACTGTTCATTGACCACTTCAGGAATTCATTTACACTTTTACTCTGTAGCCCCTGCTCCTACAGACAGAACTCAAACTCTTTCCCCCAAAATGGAATTAAGACCCATGTTAAGTTTGGAGTCATCTAGAAACTGACTCTGCTCAGACATTCTTCAGGCACCAGGCAGCCTGGACCCATCCCTATGGACCCTCAAAAGTCGAGGCACTCATGTAACACATCAACTAAGGGCAGGGGGAGAGCAAAAAGGATCCGGTTATGGAGGGAGGGAGAAGCTGGGGAGAGAAGAACATACAGGAAGGAGCTATAAGTAGGAGTATCCCAGAGGAGAGGCTGGGACAGTGGTCAAAGTGGTGCAAGTGAGGGAAAGGAGGTTCTGTCCTTCTGATGAATTGGAGAAATACAGAAATCATAGGAGGCTGCAACTGCAGGGGGTGGCAGGTGGTCACAAAATTCTGCCTGGTGAATTTCTTATTTTCAGAGTCAAGAATTCTGCTCTTGACCTTGAGAACACCTTCAATTCAGGATTGAGGTGCCGGGGAAATAGGGGTTCAAGCAAGATGGAGACAGGCTCCGACCATTTGGAAAGGCATGCCAAGAGGTTTTAAATATAGAATGAGGACATTCAAGGAAAGATAAGAACTGAGGAAGAACCTGGTGACTGGAATTAACTCAGTTGCAAATGTCTACATTTTGCTAACAGACAGGACTGTTCCAGATGCCAGAAAAGAAGCAGTCTGCACAGGTGATGGATTTTTTCCCCCGGATATGGGAATCTGTGTCACAATTAACCTCTTGATGAGAGATTCCTCTCAATTAAGTTTAGTTGACAGGTGGTAAAACCTGGACAACTGGCAAGGATTGACTGACAACTGGAGAAGACGAAGCTATTAATCCTTCCTCTGCCTCCCGGTTTATCATCCCACCTCTGTCTCTCCAGATACCCTTAGCCTCTGAATACTCATTTCCAGTGGCCCCTTTAGAAACCTTGTCCATTTGTGTCGAGACCTCTCCTGTCCTGCAGGCTACCAGAGCACAGTCTGCACATTTTATTTATTTATTTAACTATGTAACAAAAGAATTTACGTAGTAATTAACATTCGATGTAGAAAATTTAGAAAATATTATAAAAATATACAAAGCACATAAAAGGATTCAAAATATACTACTCCATAATGATACTTAATCATTGTTAATAATCTTAGTACATTGTTTACAGGGTTTGGTGTGCATACGCACACACACACACACACACACACACCAGCGTATTATGAATTGCATTCATGCATTTCATTCACTTGCGTGTTTTAAAATCAGCATTTAGCACATTGCATTATGACTTCCCCGTTCCCTTCGCCAGAATGCAAGTTCCTTAGGGGTAGGAGCTCTGATTGACTCATGTGCTTTGCCTTAGTTTTTAGCAGTGACTGTTACAAGGTAGAGGTGAAATAAATATTTCTCGATGAATGGATAAATAAATGGTCACAGAACAATGAATCTGGCCCAGTCGTTCTCCACCCTTGGCATTCTAATATGGGAGTTTGCAGTGGCATAGGCGTATTTAAAGAAATGGAATTACTTGAGATAACACTAAACCAGTCACCAAAAAACTATTTTGCAGTCACCACCGTAGTACAAACATGTCTCATCGTCTCTATAAAAGTGTCCGAAGCCATTGCACTGCTCGCTGCTCGCGTAGAATTATTTGCTATTAAGACTGCTCTCTTCAGAGGGGCAGGGGTCTCACACATGCTAGTAAACACGTGCACCTTCCTTGGTGCCAGCTTGACTTCACACTGCACCTCGTCCCTGTTATTCACGGGAAGTCGTGGCCCACTCTGCGACGAGTAACAAACCTGTGCTGCTCCACACTGCGTCTGCCAGGCATCGCATTAATATTGAAAGAGACATTCATAAATCCCCCTTAGGGAATGAACCACCCATTGCCGTGGTCCCTGGAGGATACACAGGCAAGGGTGGGAAAAGGAGCCTTGTAATGGAGCAGGCAGAACTTTTCCAGAATTCAGTGATGTTGTCCCTTGGGGCAAGAAAGGCAGCAACATTCTTGCTTGAATTCATTGAATTAACAACAGGATAGACTTTTCTGTAGAAATCTTGCAAATAACCTTTCTGCTTTCTGCTGAAGAACAAAAGGAAATTAGAGGGCCACTGTGTAAATTCCCCACTAACGCTCTTCTTAGAACCAAGGGGGTAATTCTTTCAGGGAAGAAGTTAAGATATTGTGAAGATCCACAAGCTTCCTTGATGGCTCTGAGCATTGGAAATGGTTTTTGCCTGTGTGGCCGCTTCAGAGAGGGGCTGGGGAACTGTATGAAACAGGTTGTTTAGATCAGGCTACACCTTATGGGGTAAGGATAAAAGGATTTCCAAGGTTTCCAGTCAGGCCACCCACAACAAGAGAACAAAGGACCATTAATGACACAATCCCTAAGAAAAAGGCATGGGCCCCTGAAACCCTGGTCGTGATGGCAGGCTATGGGCAAGCCCTGGACGCTACCAGGGGCACTGCCAGCATGCTGGCACCTAACGTCTGGGGACAGCCTATGGAAGACGTTGCTTCAAGCTACTTACAGAAGGGAGGAAAGTTGGTACAGTAGAGTACAGTCTAGGACAAATAGGAGAGACTTGGATTCTGATAGAAGCTTTAAACTCACTGGCTACATGACTGTGGGAAGTTGCTTAACCTCTGTGATCTTAGTTTCCCATCCACATACTAGAAATAATAATAACAACACCAACATTTAAGGCTGTTGGGTAGATTAGAGGAAATATCGAATGTGCTCAGGGTACTGCCTGATACATGGTACCAAGTGGTATCTATTATACATTAATTATTATGATCTTTTTGGGTAAACGAAATGAATGCACATGAAATAATTAGAGACAGCCAGCAACCAGGTGATCTGATATGCCCAGAGCCATCATATTTGTCACTTGAAATATGCCCCATTTATTTTCACGAAGGAGGCACACTACATCTTTCGCTGTGTCCCCAGTTGGGGTGCCCCAGTTGTTGCTACAACTTTCATGTTTCTGGGAGACTGAGAATGCCTGCTTCAGAGGCTGACTAGCTGGAATTGAATGTCTGTCCCCTCACGTCCTGGCCGTGACGGTCACGATAGTGCTCACCTGACAGTGCCTTCACGAGGACTAAGTTGCATAGCCCGTGCAAAGGGCCAGTTCAGGATCTGCTATGTAGATATTAAAAGTAACTGTTTTTAATGGTATAGGGCTTGCACCGCAAACCAGTTATTCCAGTGGGTCATGCACTCAAATACTTGCTCAGCAAATGAATGCTGAACCCCTGTTATGTGTCTAGGGCTGTCCTTGGTGCTGTGAGTCAGGAAAAGAAAGACTATTCCTTTCCTTCTAGGAGCTTATGGTAATGTCTGAAATAAGAAATGTCACGAGATTATTTATTGTATGGCAAATATCCAATGAGTAACACAGAGCAAGCACTAGAACTCAGAGGGGTGGCAAAAGCAAGGAAGGTTTCAAGAGAGAGAGAGGGAACAGCTGAAACAGAGCCAAAGTGGAGAGGACAAATGCAAATTATGCAAATGTGTGAATGGCCTGTAAGTAGGACACATTACCTTCAAAAGTCACCACATTCTGACCTAAGGGCTGGCTCTATGCCACCAGAGAAGCGATGCAGTTATCAAGTTTTGAGAAGGGTGCAGATGCACACAGAGCACTGACCTCAAGAAGACTGCTCTAAGGTGGCAATTTCAGCTCTGGAAGAACAGCCCAGACAATGTCAATCATGGCCAACACATATACACCCTTTCCTTTTTATTTTGTCCCTATGCTTTCTCATTATTTGGCTTTTTAGGGAGGGGGAGAAGAAAGGAAATTGAGAATGAAGAACCTATCATCATACTGCACCTACCACAGAGGCCCTGCATCTGCCACTGCCCATCTCCCCAGACCCTTCCAACCCAAAGCCCTGACCTTGAACTTGGTCACTACTATACATTAAACCTGCTAACTTAGAAAGGATCAGGAGAACAGGAGAAACAGAGGACAAAGAAACAGAAGAAGAGAGGTAAGGAAAAAGAGGGAGTAGTAAGAAACTGAAAGAGAAGCAGGAAGAGAGCAATGACAAATGTTCCATCTAGGGTGCTTTGGGGCAGTTAAAATGACAAAATGGATTTAGGTGAGGTGGTCAGCCCTACCACCATCCAGGTTTCTGTTCTTTTTATCCTCACCTGTCATAACTGTAAATGTTGCCTGGGGTCACCTGGAAAGACACAAACGTATACATATTCATGAAGTCACTCACTGATTAATTCATTCACTCAGTGTCTCCTATGTTACAGGCAATGTTCATGTGCAGGGGACACAAAAGTGAACAAGATAAATACAGTTTCTACCTTTTTTTAAAAAAAAAATCACTCAACAGGTACTTTTTGAATTGAATGCTGAAGCTTATACTATGCTAGGTATTGCAGAAAATACAAAATAATTATGAGACACATTCCATGTCTTTAGGAAACTTATGATAATAACAGCATACATTCATTAATCACCTCTTCTGTGAATGACTTCAGTCTTCAGTGATCTTTCATTGCTTTGTTCTTTCATGTCTGTCTGTCCAGTCTTGGCAGACCCAGCACATACTACCTTATATTTTTACTTATCTGCTTGCTTATTTTATTTATTTTTTTTTTGAGACAGAGTCTCACTTTGTTTCCCGGGCTAGAGTGAGTGCCATGGCATCAGCCTAGCTCACAGCAACCTCAAACTCCTGGGCTCAAGCGATCCTCCTGCCTCAGCCTCCCAAGTAGCAGGGACTACAGGCATGCACCACCATGCCCGGCTAATTTTTTGTATATATGTTATTAGTTGGTCAATTAATTTCTTTCTATTTTTAGTAGAGACAGGGTCTCGCTCAGGCTGGTTTCGAACTCCCAACCTCGAGCAATCCGCCCGCCTCGGCCTCCCAGAGTGCTAGGATTACAGGCGTGAGCCACCGCGCCCGGCCTTGCTTGCTTATATTTTAAAAATTCTATCCTACATGAGGTGTGCACTACTTAGTTTAGGCTGTTTAACAAACTACTACAAAACTCTTTGTCTTAAAATAGTAACCATTGATTTAGTTCGTGATTCTGTGGATTAGAAATTTGGGCTGGGCTCAGCTGAGCGATTCTTCAGGTCTTGGCTGGTCTTTTGGTCTTCATTCGTGGTATCTGCAGTCGGATGCTGATCTGCTGGGCAGTTCTGCTTCTGGGGGTTAGATGAATATTGACTAGGACATCAGGGGTGACTGGTTTCTCACCTGGTAGGTTGGTCTGGGCTTGCTCAGTTGGCAAATTGGCAGAGTTGCTAGAGAACTAATGGAAATGAGCGGAAGTCTCCTAAAGTCTGGGTCAGAACTTGCTCAGTACTTCTACTGCATTCTATTAGCCAAAGCAAGCACAAGGCCAGCCCAAAATCAAGGAGGAGAAAAAAATAGACTCCATTTCTTGATGGGAGTAGCTTCGGAGACACATTGCCAAGGGCGTGGATACAGAAAGAGGTGCACTAAAACCATCACACTTTCAATTTCCCACACGGCCTGTGACGCTTCTCAAGAGAGAGAGATATGCTATTTACACATTTTTTTATATTCTTACAGCTGGGGGAATAGTTGGCCCATCCTGATGTTATAAAAGCAAAAATCCAGTGTAGGGAAGTAGGGAAGATCTCCCAAGGGAAGGACATTTAAAGATGAGAGTCAAAGGATAAACAGGAGTTATCGAAATGGAGAGCATTCTAGTCAAAGAGAACTACATGTGGAAATGCTGGAAACTGGAGGGATCCTGGGATATTCCAGAAAGAGACATAGTGAGTAAGGTGGGACAGGGTTGGGCTGGGAGTGGAGGGGAGAGGCTGATGCTGCAGACTTAGGCAGGCATCATAACTGAGGACCTTATAAACCGTCATAAGAAATTCGGACATAATCCTAAGAGCGGTGGAAAGTCATTAAGGAGTTTCAAGCAGGGGAGAGAAGTGATGAGTCTTGTGTTTCTAAAGGATCACATTGACTGCAGTATGGAGAATGGATTAAAGGAGATGAGAGTGAAAGTGGGCATAATAAAGTCCTATTTTAAATTTGGAAATACCTTTGGCAAGATTAAAGGGTTGCCCACTCCTCACGCTTTAAGGGAGTGATGCAGGACAGACCTTCTATTCCCCTCCTAACTCGGAGCTATGTGAGTGGAAGACCCATTTAGGAGGAGATGAAGGGAGAATCCACTGGGGAACACACTCAGATCTCTGGCAATGTGTAACCCCCACCAATATCGTAGCCAGAAAGGACAATAGAAAGTTCATAGATTAAGATTCTTTTTACCTTTCTATTAGCAGAACTAATCATTTGCCTTTAAGTAAGACATTTCATTTTCATTAAAGTAATAGCCATGATAAGTAAAAAGAAATTAATTTCCAGAAGGACATTCAAACCTAACAGTATTTCATTTCCTGCCAGGACTGAGATTAATCTAACTCTTACCTCTGCTGACATCTAATAATGGCCATCATTGTTGAGCTCCTACTATGTGCCAGGTAATTTACACAGATGATCTGGTTAGGTAGGTGCGATTATCCCATCTTACAGAGGGGACAAGTACATCACTTGTACTCCGGCGACGCCTGGAGTCAGGACAGAGCTGGGATGTGCATCAGGGCTCTAATTCCAACACCATAGTAGTTATCGGTCACTCGCTAAGCCTTACAACATGCCTGGCATGGGGTTAAGCCCTTGGTTTGTTTGATCTTGTTTCACCCTCCCAATAGCCCTTTGAGAGAGGTGATATTATCATCTCCACTGTACAGATAAGGAAAACGAAGGTCAGAAAGGTCACAGGATTTGCCCAATGCCATGCTGCCAGGTCTAACATCAGGGGCTGTGTTTGTAACCATAACACGAAACCTCCTAGGTTCTTCCAACTCCACCATACTGACCTGAAAACATTAGGCTTCTCTTAAACAAATGTCCCCTTATCGTTCCTAATCACTGTGTAAGCAAAGCTCTGAATAATGAGCATAGTCAGTCTTCTCTCATCTCTCTTCTCGCCTGTGTCAACTGTAAGCTCCCGGAGGGCAGGTCTGTGCCTAAACCACTCTGTCCTCCCCAGCACCCAGCAGCATTGATCCACGCCCAGAATTTTACTCCGTCTGTGCCTGTTCTTCCCAGTGGCAGGGTCGTCTTCAGCCTCACACATGTGGAAACGCAAACAAACCGAGTGTCCTGAGCAAGTCCTACGAACAAGTCGGCCAGGCAGGCAGCCCACCTCCCCGCCCCCTCCCTCCCAGCTACACCGAGGTAGGGATGGCTCAGTCCCCGTCTCAGAACAATGACCAGCTGGTGCACACCCTCTGCCTCCCCCAGCTCCGAGGTGTCACAGGGAGCCGGGGGCTGCACTTGTACGCCGCGGTCCCACCAGGTCGTCAGTCACCAGCATGAGAGAGGCTGGGCTCCAGCTCTGCAGGCAACCATATCGGAGGAATAATGAGCTGCTCTGGGGGAGGCAAGAGCTTGCTGATTAATAGACATATGGGGGTGTCACAGTGACAGATGGACCCAAAGGCCCCTTCCCCGTTGCATTGCCCCAATGACCCTGACTCTCTCCCCTGGGGTCTGCCTGTCCCTTGACACTGATTCCGGATGGCAGGATGATCAGAGGGGGAGTGGAAGACCATGCAACTGTTGAGAGAAGGAAAGAGTCATGCTATTATTGTGGGACATTATTTGGGTGTTAGCTTTATGGCTCATATTGAAAAGCCCCTCGGACCCATTTTATTTACCTGTATCATGAAAGAGTTAGAGTTCTTTCATTTATAGGAATGTAGTGTCTGCCATCTGTAAAATGTGGATAGTGAAAATACCCATTATTGTAGGTGTGGTGAAGACAGCCCTGAAGTCATAGTCAGAAGACTTAGATTAAAACCCAGGACTTCTTCTACTTGTTTTGTAACTTTGGTTAAGTTACTTGACTTCTCTGAGCCTCAGTTTTCCCAAGTATGAAAAGAAAATAATAAATATGCATTTCTCATGAGGTTTTTGTGAGCATTAAAGGAGCCAGCATGGATAGGAAGCACCTCACACAATATCTGGTACAGAGTAGGTGTTCCGCAAACATTTATTGACTTGGTTGGTGAGTTTTTAATGAGCATTGCCATTGAATGGCATATGTTAACCCCGAAAGATGCTATATGAAGCTGACACTCAGCGTTGGTGTTAGTATAGGTTTTGGTGTTGGTGTTGGTAAGAGCATGGGTATGAGCATTAGTGCTACCTCTAAGGTGTCTTTCAACCTTTAAAGAATAAGATCTGTTGATTGGTGGCTTAGTGAGAGGTTGGTTCTTATAAGCATCAGGTCTAAAAGTCTGAAAGGTACAAGGCGGCCACCCCAGCTCTGCTTCTGTGTATCCAAGGCTTTTCAGGGGACAGTGAGCCTCTGTTCAGCCCAGAGCAGAAAGTGACTGACAGGAACTGGGGAGGGCAAGGAAAGGAGGACAAGACAAAGACATCAAGAAAGACAGGAGAAGACAGTTGGGGGCAGAGAGAGGCAAGTGTCTGCCGCCTGGGCCACGCATGTTGCTGCCTCTCAAACTGGATCTGTGCACAAAGGTGACCCAAGTCTGGGGGTGACGTTGGCTGGGGCAGAGCACAGCTGGGAGTGAGCAGTGGTGGAGGTGAGGGGAGGCTCAGACGAGAAGAGGTGCAGGAAAGAAGAGAAGGAAAGAGGAGAAGGAGGAAGCCTGTCTTATCCTTCCCCTTTTTGAAACCTTCCAAGAATCCCCATGGCCTGCCAGAGAAAAGCCAAGCTCCCCCACCCAGGCACAAGCCCTGCAGAATCGGGTGGCATCAGCTCTCTCACGTCTGAGCTCCAGCCACTCTGGCCAGGTCTCCGACAAGACCCCGGGGATTGCACCGTCCTGTCTTTGCCCTTGAGGTTCCCTCTGACGGGAAGCTTTTCAGCCCCTCCTTGTCTCAGAGAACTACCATGTCTCCTTCAAACACCACCTCCTCGGGGAACCTTCCCTGAGTCCTCAAGGCAGAATTAGTATTTCCCTCCTCCGGATTCCAGCAGACCCCAGCACACGCCTTAGTGGCAGGTCACAGTGTCTACCACTATTTGCTGTCTTCCGTCTCCCACACGAGACGGGCTCCCCCGAGGCAGGGCCTGGTCTTGTTCATCTCTGTGCCCTGGCACGTGAGCTGCAGGCCTGGGATGCGTTGCATTGTTTATAGAATGACAAGGAGTGTGGAGAAAGGGTGAAGACGAGAAGGAAACAGAGACCAAGGAGAAAAGGAGGAAGGAAAGAAGGGAAGAGGGAGGAGAAGGCATGAGAGAAGAAGAATAGGAAGCCATCAGGGAAGAGAGGAGGAAGGAAGAGGAAGGGAGAAAAGAGACAGGCAGCAGCAGAGTGTAAGATCAAGAGAATAAAGGGGAAGAGATAGCAGCTAAAGAAAGCCAGGTGGATGACTGACAGGGGACACAGGAAATGGGCTCCAGAGAGCCTCTGGGAATTCTCCCTGCACCCGCACCTTGCTGTTGGGGCCAGCTTCTTCCCACCCTGCACCTCACAACGCACTGGGTTGAGTCCACACTGGGCTGACCCACATGGGCTCATGTGACTGCATGGCCGTGGTGCAGAGGAAATGTGGCTTCTTTACAGCTCAAACACTGCAGGCCCCCTTGACAGCTGGTTTGTATAGAGAGGTGTCACTTAGAACATCAAGGAAGGCCCTGTTCTGTCTCCCCTGTCATCTCCTCCACCTGGATCTGCTTGGGTAGACCCACTGGAAAACTCCCAGCTGGAGTCTTAGTGGGGCAGTCTCAAGCCCCTGCTGGATTTAACTGGACACAACAGGTGTTTGTCTCTTCCCTGGCTCTAACCCCACCAGTGCTCCCAAAGCATCTGCTTCTCACCCAATTTCAATCGGAAATTGTGCAGCCGTACGGACCTGGCAGTGCGGGCACACCTGCCCTCAGGTAGGGTCCTGGGCACGTTGCAGCAGGTGTTGTCCTGCAAGTGCTCCAGGGATAGGAACTCTCTGCTCTCTGTAGAGGACTGGGGCGTCTTCCCTATGCCGTACTCCCTCCATGCTGAGCAATCAAAGACTGTCTTCTCTGAGTGCAGGTATTATATGGATCTGCACCACTTGAGGTGAAAGTAAATATCATTAGGAAAGGAAAAGCAAAGCCTCTCTGCACCTTCACCTCAGCTTCCCAAGGGAGGCTGTGGGGAGTTGGACTAAAGTAAGTGGCTCTTAAGTTAATTCCAAGGCCCACTTAATTTGCATGATTCAGACCTAGTCCCTGGCATCTTTTCCCTGATGCCCTCTCTCCTGCCAGCCTCCTCTTCACGCAAAGCATCACCAGACTCCAACGTTCCTCTTTCTTTTCTATTAAGATTATTTTAAGATGCAGAAAAAATATGCCACCATGGGGGGCTGGAAAGGGGGGATAGGACTCTTAGGGGGCTGTCCTTAAGGACTTCCCAGAAATCACCGCCCCAGGCTGGAAATGTTCTAGGGAGAGGAAGAGGTGAATAAAGTGTATGCAGAGCAGGCACAGGGAACTTAGGAAAGTCCTACAGAGTTCTCAGTCTTTCTGGAAGAAAAAGAGAGGCAATTTTTATTTTCCTAGCAGGGGCGTAACAAGACCTATAGGGAAGAGGAATGGAAAATATAAATCCACAGGCTCATTTTAGTCCAGAGGCAGAACGCTCACCACCCACCCCAACCTTTCCTTCATCGGAAGTGTAACGAGCTGGTCTGAGTTTCATTCAACTCTCTGGCTTCTGCTTCTGAGAGTAGAAATGGCCAATAGCTGAGTGTGTGCAAGAAGAGGAAAAAACAAGTCTTGAATAATCCCTAATCCAGAGAGAACCATGACCCCTGATGAAGATTGAAAATTAACCGACACGTTACTTATTTCAGTAGGTATGTGGAGTGAACCTAGCTGGTTAGCCCTTTACAAATAGCTTTTAAGAAAGAGAATACCCTTCTCAATGACAATGTTGGCGTGACCCGTGATGGAGAATGGCCATAGTGATTCCTTAGTATTGAAATACCAAAGTCCTCCTTAAACCTGCTCTCACTCCTACCTCTTTCTTGGAGGCACCATCCAGAGATTTCACCCCTCTGCTCATTTATTCACTTACTGATTATTTACGGAGTAGCTGGGAGCCAGGAGGGCAGTGGAGACCTGGAAAAGATTCGTAGTTTTCCCTGACTTTCTGGAAGCACAGAGCACAGGGAGATGCGGGGCACGAAGTGAGACCAGAAAGCCAGTTGGGTGAAGATGACAAAGATACTTAATTAATATGTCTGGCTAAGGAGTCCCGACTGGGGGGATGTAGATAGCAAGGAGCCCTGGAGGATTTGGGGACAGGGAGAGGGCACGGTCAGACTTGCTAAATAGGAGGGTGCTGTGAGCTCAGTGTGGAAGGTGGACTGGAAGGGGTTGGTCAGAACGGAGGCTGAGGGTTGGTGAAAGGAGAGAGAGGATGATGGCCTGCCTCGAGCAGAGGCAGAGGAGGGAGCAAGAGGCATTGGCATTTGACACACACATGACTTACGAGACTCGGTCAAGCAAACTAGAAACCAACAGAACAACACACGACTGCCTGCCCCCAAAGCTGTGTTTTTTTCAGCCATTATTAATAACTGATTTGATTCGATCTATTCCATTTTACAACCCCTGTCTCCTGCAATTGTCTGGTCCTGGTAACAATTTTATTGGAGCATAAGAGGCACATTATAAATACATTTTATACTGCACATTGTATTTTAAGCAAATTTGAGACATCTCTGATTAGGTGCCTTTCCAACGATAGCCTTGTTCAGACAGATAATTGCGTGCTGATTTTTATTTTATTTCATTTTATTATTATTTTTTTCTTTTAGCTTTGTTCTCTCACCCTTGGCAAAGCTGCAATCTTGCATACACACGTCAGTGGATAAAAACCCTTGAAAATAACTCTTCAGAAGAAATCTAATTTACTTTTTAATCTGGCTCGGAAATTTGCCAGAAAAATTTCCACCGACAAGCACTGCCATTTATTACCACTTATCACACGCCCGGGCTGTGCTCTCGCTCCTGATGGGGCTAATGTAACAGGGGAGGAATCTTCTGATACATTATTTATTTGATACAATCCCACCCAGATAAGATCTATGGGCAGGAGAGGACAAAGTTTGACCTTATCCTTCGTCTAAGGGAAAGTGAGGGATCTTCCCTTTTGCTTGTTCCAGGAACCCTTCTCTCTCCGTGCCCTTGTAAAAGTCTCAGCTTCCCTTAGAGCCCAGCAACTCTCGCTCCACAGAGATCCTGCTTTGACTTTGCTTTTTCCCCCTGGATTCTACACCACCCACTTGCATGCATGCTTGTGTTTGACCTTGAAAGGATTTTCAAGGGTTTTGTGCATATTCCAATCTGTTTCTTAGGGGCAGACACCAGAGTGGCAGCTAGCACTGGCCTACCCAAGCTTAGCGTGGGGTGGTCCCATGTTGGGGAAAGAATATTGCTAGGGGCCAGCTGGTGACCTTGGGCCAGTTATTTAACGTCTCCGGGGTCTTCACCTGGAAAAGGAGGAGGAGCATCTCTGTAACCCTGTCCAGCTTTCACGGATGATGGAGACCGCAAGGCTTTCAGAACAGAAGGCTTGGCACAGAAGATCTGGTGCTGGATTCTGGCTCTGCAGCCACCTGCAGGATGATTTGCAGCAGGCTGGTATCCCGAGCCCCTACTTCCTGAGCTGTCCACCGGGGGTAATAACTCTTCCCCTGCTGACCCCGTGGAGTTATTACAGTGATAATGAATATGGAAGCTTTGCAAACAGTGAAGAAATATATAAATGTATAATTAAGTGTGAATCAATTCATTAATTAGAGAAAACACATTATGAGATATTTACAGAACCCACTCAGAGGGAAAACAGGAGTCGGGCTGGGAGCAGCCAATGGGGCTTTCTACCTACCTGTCTGCAGCCTCGGCTGGCAGATTTCGAGGCCAGCCCCAAGCAAAAGGAGTCCCCTGCGCTGCACTGCTCAGTGTATTTGGGCTGACAGCCACTTACCGACATCCCAGGGTCTACAGAACTGGGATTTAGTCTCCACCCACTTCTTCTCATGTTTCCTGCAAAATAATGAAGGTGAAAGAGTTTTGAGCACTGGACAGAACGGGGTTGAAGTCTTGGCTTGGCTGTGCACATGTTGGAATCTATGAGAATTCATTTAATTTTCCTGAGGAAAATAGCACATACCTCGTGGGGTTGCTGTGATGAGCCAATGACATAACGATCTAACCCTCTGTAGACCTCCCTATGCATCGTCATCTATTAAGTGCTAAGAGAGGTCCTTGTCCTTCTTATTTGCCCTGCACCCTTGGAGCCTAGCAAAGGTCTGCCATGTAGGAAGGATTCGCCCACCACCTGTTAAATGGATGAACGAATGAATGAATTAGTGCCACACACAGTGGTCAGGGTTGCGAACTGAAGAAAGATAGAGCCCCGAGTCCTAAATTGATTTTGAAATCTTTATCTCCTTCCAAGTCCATGCCTCCTACTTCTCTCCCAGGCTTCTCCCCACCCTTGCTCCCCTTTCCCATCCTCTCGACTTCTAGAAAATTCCATCTCCCCCAGCTTTTCTCTCCTCAGCAGCGGGCGTTCTCAGCCAGGGGACTGGCAGTGAGGTTTGCCCACAAAACTTTCTCCCTGCTTTTTGTGTTCCCTTCTCAGAGCTATGCCTCCTGCGGGAAGAGTAAATATAGAAAAATGACAACATGTACATTAATGCTCGTTAGAATGTCATCATTATACTCCGCAAAGTGTCTGCCGAGGGGGTCCCTAAAGGACACTTAGAAATGAAGCAGCTGCTCCAGATTTGTTCCAGCTCACATCTTGAAGAAATGACATTGAGATAAATGCAGTATTTCAGGCTGGAGGGTGGGAGGGGAGAGCGCAGGGCTGCTTTGGGGAAGGAGGAGAGGGTGAAGGGAACTCGCACGTTTCTCAGAGTGCTCAGAACAGCACGTGCAAGGGACGGACAGAGCAGGAGCACGTGCAGGAGCAGGAGCAGGCTCCACACCCAGGCTGGCTTGCTGGGACCCAGAGACTCCCGTCTGCTAGGGGAGAGGGCTGGCTCGGGCGTCCACACCTCAATCTCGGCATGACCAGCCTCTGAAGGCATCACCTGCCTCTTCATCAAAAGTGAGAAACAGACTATGCGATAGAATGAGGAGATGGAATGAGGATAGCATTTTTCTACTTACTTTAGTACCAGTAGTAACTGGAGAAAGGTTGTTGAAGGAAGGGGAGGCCATGTGATACCAAAGTTTTGATCTAGCTATAAGGCTATGGACAATTGATACCAACTAGTAGCTCTCTATTCTGCTCACACGCTCAGGACACACTGAGATGAAAATAAACACACAGCCACACCCCCTGCACACACTCTTGTCAACACTAATAAGTAGCAAGTAGCTAATCCAACACTCCAGGCCCTGCCCAAGCACCACACTTACCTTTATCTCAGCACCCTGAAAAAGCAAGTGACAAGGTTTGTGAGATTCCTCCAGAGATCATATTTTAATTTAATTTTTATTTTTGTCATAAAGAAATATAATTTTGGCCAGGAGCAGTGGCTCATGCCTATAATCCTAGCACTCTGGGAGGCTGAGGTGGGGGATCGTTTGAGCTCAGGAGTTCGAGACCAGCCTGAGCAAGAATGAGACCCCGTCTCTACTAAAAATAGAAAGAAATTAGCTGGACAACTACAAATATATATAGAAAAACTTAGCCAGGCATGGTGGCAAATGCCTGTAGTCCCAGCTATTCAGGAGGTTGAGGCACCAGGATTGCTTGAGCCTGGGATTTGAGGTTGCTGTGAGCTAGACTGATGCCACAGCATTCTAGCCCAGGCAACAGAGTGAGACTCTGTCTCAAAAAAAAAAAAAAAAAAGAAAAGAAAAGAAAAGAAAAAGAAAAGAAATAAATACAATTTTGAGCCCAAGCTATAAAATCACTATTCTAAGTCCAATGAGTTCATATCCTCAGTGCTAACAAGTATGGTTTGTTATGGCACTTGGAGTACACACAGAGCTCTTTCCCATGTATTGGATTCTCATCACTGCATCAGGGTAGGTATTATCTCCATCTTACAGATGAGCAAACCAAGGAATAGACTTTTCAATTATATACATACACAAACACATACCTAGGATATTGATAAGCCTTGCACCTTGGTCAGAATGCCTTCACAGCAGGGACCCACACACATAGATGCCAATACTCACACGGAAGGCACGAGATGGAAGGCACGAGATGCAAGGCTCAGTAAACTGCAGACTCAGTAACCTCCAGTTAACTCAACCTGCTATAAGTAACCAAGCCAGAGATCTATAACTGCTCTGCTTGCCTGATTGGGGCACAGCAGCCCCATGGGAGAAAGAATGAAGTGAGCTCAGCCACTTTGGGAGCCTGCCATCCCTGAGTGAAGTTACAAGTCTCCTAATTTATCAGCCAAGGAAGGGATCGCAGTAAGAGGAAGTACGTATGCAGGAACCGTTGTTTCAGAAAACGGGTGTGCTGACCGTGGTCCACCACTCCCCAGCTGTGGTTGCCATTCAGACCTGGATTTAGCACACACAGCCTCACAGAGCTCACCAAAATGCTTACCATTGCTTTGTGGATGATGATCCTGAGCCTGAACTGATTTCCTGCAGTTCTTTCTCCAGCTCCCCACATATAGACCCAAGTATATATGGCCATGCACACACGTATGCGTGTGTGTGCAGACACACACACACACACACATACACACTGCCCATCAGCCCCATTCCTCCTCTTTCCCTGGGACTCAGAAGGCTGGGCCTAAAGTTTAATGATCTTTAGACTCTGCTGACTTCCAACTACAACCAAGCACTGGTTGGTTTGCATAACTCCTTGTCATAACTGATTGAATGTTTCTATGCACCACAGAGGATGCAAAGTTGTGTTCTGTTCTCTGCCCCAGAGATCTTATGGTCTCATGAGACAGCCAAGTCACCTAAATCCACTAAGCATTAGCCTTCCCTGATACAAAGTGGGGGTAGCGGTAATGCCTTCCTTTTAGGGTTGTTGTGAGGATTAAATGAAATTAGGTGTGCAAAGCCTTTGGTGCAATGCCTACACACAGGAATGTCTCATTATTCTTATTACTAATTGCAGCAAATATTACGGGGGAGGTATTATACTAGCGCTATGGATAAGATATGCTATGGGAGATCCAAAGAGAATGGAGGAGCTATTAGCTATACCTGTACTCAGTGGTCTTTAACTAGACAAAATTGGGGAAAGAAAAAAGCAATACCCAGGACTTTACATCATGGAGAAGATGCTCTTTTTATTCGTCCTGCATGCACCTGGAAGGTAGGAAGGAATCCTCTTTGACCATCATCAGCCCTACAAATGCACAACTGCAGTTACCATAAGTGCAGAGAAGGGTCACACAGTCTCTTCCTTCACAGAACAGTCTAGCTGGGAAGACTACACAAATGCAGAGGGAGAAGGAAGTTCCTCTGGGCACAGTTAACTGCCTCTAAGAAGGATCATGGTCATTTTGCAGAGATTTGCCAAACTGGAGAGTTGAATTTGTGGCAGGAGAAGCAGGATATGGGGCCAGAAAAGTAGACTTGGGGATTTTTTCAAAGTTCTGTTAATGAGGAAAGGAAAACAATGGTTAAATTTTAATCAGAGTTCAGACTTTGCTAACTACAATTTTCAAGCCAGAAATTATTTTAACTTCTGGTGTTATTAAAATAAGTTTCATTAAACACTAAGTTGGCCCTGTTTCTAATGTGTTACGTGATGAACATACAATGAGAAGTAAACTCCAATTATGAGCTAACGATCATACAGGAGATGAACTCTGAGAAACGAGTTTCAGGTTGACAGAGGAGAAAATGGAAAGCATTAGATGCCCACACTGGTCACAGAATGGGACTAGTTCCAACACACATCCTGTCTGGTCCACCGATGCCTAAGGGCCCAGGCCATTCTCTACCCCTCCCTTGACAGCAACATCTGTTGCAGCCACATCTGTGCCAAGAAAGGACACCCAGACAGAGTATCCTGCCTTGAGACCAACAGTGGAAAATTGGAGGGAATGGGCAGCTCTGCCCCACTGTTCTTTGATCAAAGCACCCTGTTAAATAAATCTATTTGGAGAGCATAGTTTTGAGCACCTATTTCTGTGGGTAAAGGAGGAGCAGGATAAATTATTGCCTCAGTCTCCTTTTTTCCCCACTAGTTCCTTAGCTGGGGTAGTCTGGGAGAGATCACAGAGAGCACTGATGCTGTCCGAGGACTTCAAAGAACAGTGGTGAGGGTTACAGAATGGTATTCAGAAGGTGGGGGTGGTGGAGGTGGATGCCAAGAGGACAGGGGCTGCTCTTTCGCTGCAAAAGCTTTGTTGTGCCAGAACTAAAGGGCACAGGTGTCAGTGGGCATAGATGGGCAGCAACAAATGCAGGCGTTAGGTGAGTAGTAAAGAAGCAATTCTGCATTATAACTCAGTTTGGAGACAGAGATAGAAAGTGAAAAAGTGCAACAAGAGCCTCTTTCTTTAAACCCTTCCCTGATTTAGCCAGAGCTGGCTCCTGATTCAGCCAGTGCTTACTGCTACCTCCACGTGCAGTATGCAAAGATGGTTAAGGCATGACCATTGCCTTCACAATCAAATGGAGGAAGTGGATGTGTAAACAGCACATGGTCACACAATGGGGCAAGTACAATTTCAAAGGTATACATTAATACCAAGGATAAGTGAGTTTGCTTGGAGCAGTTGGGAAAAGGAAATGGTAGTTAAGGAGGTTTTTTTGAAATAATTAGTCACTAATAGGACTTTGTAACATGGATAAGTGTCTCTGTGCCCACTGTGGGTCCCTTCCCCTCACCATGTGCATGTGTTCCCTGTTCTTCTGTTGGGAAGTTATATTTGGGATAAGAATGCAGTGCTTTCCTTTCTCTTGAGACTTTAGGCTCCTCCTGCTGTGGATCTGTAAGGTAAAAAAAAGACTGGGACAGTGACTGAAATTTCTGGAGGGACAAGAGCAACTTCTGACTCACTTCTCCCAAGTAGTATGGGAGAAGTGAGTCAGAAGTCTGCCCCTCCTCAACCTCGTGTGGCAGGAAGAGTCTCCCTCTTTTTGCCATGTAAATTCTCACTCTTCAATTTTTCTCTGAGTCCTACATTATTATATCTCTTTTCTATGCTTGGAAAAAAGTTGCTGTTTGAATCGATCCCTCTCTGGGATTCTCCAAATGATGGTTTTCTCACTGCTTCTGTCTCTGCTGTTAGTATCAGGAACTGTGCATAATTTCTTCATCCTCCCTTGTTGCCCACGACTATGTCTTCCCATGATTCTTTGGTTCATTCAACGTGTATTTATTGAACACTAACCATATGCCTGGCCTGGGAGCTAGGAATACAACAGTGGAAAAACAAACAAACAAAGTAAATTCTTGCCCTTGCAAACTTTACAGTCCAGTGGGAGAAATAGACCACAAATAATTAAACAAATAAACCTATCAATATATTGTCAGGTAGTCATAAGTTCTTATGAAGAAAAACAGAGTATCGTAAGAAGACATTCAGAATGTCGGGCAGGGGCTTATGAGTGAGGAATACCTCTCTAAGGAGGTGATATTAGAGCACAGAAGACAATTAAGTAAGAGGAGAGAGTAAAGTTAATGGCTGGTGAAAAGGTGTTCCAGCCAACAAAGATGGACAATGGGAACATTCTTGAGTGTGTAAGAGAATGTGCTAGAGTACTGTGGGTAAAAGAAACAGTGGCCATTAATAAGGTTACCAGGACAAGGTAATTTAAGATCTTTTAAACTGCATAAGGAATTGGAGTTTTGTTCTGATTGAGGGAATATGACTTTGGAGAGTCCTGAGCAGAGGAGGGACATGCTGCAGTGTATATCTCTGCAGCATCATGCTGGCCGCTCTTTTCAGAATAGATGGAAGGGAGACATAAGAGGTGGCTGGTTAGGGCTAGTGTAGTAGATTGAGCAAGAGGTGGTGGTGGCTTGAACTTGAGGGGGGTAAGCAAGGTGGTGACAGGAGGTCACTGATGCTATTTTGATGGCAGAGCCAAGAAGACTGATTTCAAAGATTGGTTGTAGGACATGAGTGCTGTAGTCTCTTCTGTGCTGCTATAGCAGAATACCACAGACTGAGTTATACAAAAAGGAAATTTATTTCTCACAGTTATGGAGGCTGAGAAGTCCGAGATCAAGGTGGCAGCATCTGGCAAGGCCCTTCCTGTTGCATCATGCCATGGCAGAGGGCAAGAGGGGGAGAGAGGGCAAGAGGAAAGGGGCTGAACTCATCCTTTCATCAGGAACCCCCCTCTACGATGATGGCATTCATCCATTCAAAGAGGGCAGAGCCCTCATGCCTAAGCACCTCAGAAAGACCCCACCTGTCAGTACTGTTGCACTGGAGATTAAGTTTCCAATACATGACCCAATACATGCAAACCACAGCAGAGAGGAGGATGAAAGTCAAAGATATCTACATGGTTTTCAGTCAGAATAATTGAGTGAATGGTA